TTTTTGCAACGATCCTTTCTTTCCTTGTCCTACATACTTAGGACCACGGATAAAATTGACAGTTCTTCTCCCGCCCAAATGTCGAATAGGGTTGAAAAATTCAACTACATCTCGATCATACTCGTGACAGCGATCGTATTAAATTTCTATGACATCCGTAAGATACTTGTAAAGAATGCCATTTTTGGGTATCAAACCTCGACGAATAAAGTCGTCAAATTTGTAACAGAGAGGATCTGCTTTTTCGACGCTGTAAGCGCACCACTGATCACCTTCATTCAGATCAATGTCACGATTCACTTCATTCGACTCAAAAGACCTAGACAGCTGACCTTCACTGTCATCAGAGTCGTCGCTGTGTCGCAGGAATTAGTTTCTAAATGGTGTTTTGTGAGGGGAGGTCTTTTTGAGGAGTATTTTTATATTAAGGGGGGGAGGCCAATATTGCGACACAGCGACACAAATATGTCTCAAACGACCAGTGAGAGAGGCTTTCACTTGTGCCGCAATAATTTTTGATGCGACACATTGCGGCACAGTTTTTTTTAATCTCTTACTGACAGGGGCTTACAGGAATTTTTCGATACGACACAGATGGGTTTGTCTAGCAAATAAGAGGAAATTTAAATGGGGTCAATTGTATGTGGTAAAAAACAGAGAGGGTCATGCTTAACTCAAATCCACTCGTCAGGAGAATTAATGTATGGCGATGAGCTTCTGCCGCATTTGAGACAATTCTTCTTCTTTAAAAAGATAGCTTAAATAAGCACTGGCTTCATATCGATCTTGAGGGTCGACATCACTATCGCGAAGATAGTTCATTTGTTTGGGTGTGGGAGGGGCCACCATCCAGGAGTCTTCTTTTGACGAGTTTGGAGAAATTGTTAGAAGAAACTCTTACCCTGATGCAAAACACTGTTCTCGGATCCCTTGTCTAATAAAGGTAAGAGAAGAGTATCTCTGACTCCCAAAGAGCTGACATTCTTTCTCTGAGATTTGAACGACAATGGCACATCCATTGAGGGTGTTTGCAATAAAAGCCCCCTCTTGAGCATGATGGATCCAGCGAAAGTGTTACAGCTCTAAGAGACTGATCTCACGAAGCGTTAATCTCTGATAGAATTTTGGCGGTTCAGGATTCAAGGCATAAATTTCTTCTTCTGTTGCAAGATGGACATATCCGCATTCCGGACAGGTTGAAAGAGAGCGTTTCATGAGAGCCTTGCACTTTCGGCATTTCTTCAAAGCCTGCTTTTTCTCACTATAAAGCTTAACGTCTTGCTCTAAGGATCCATGAACTCTTGAGGACAACCCAAAGTCTAAAATGAGACAGTCTTTTTTCCCTGGATGAGGTCTGAGGCCTCTTCCCACCATCTGAATCATCGTGCTTTTGTACGAAGAGGGACGCAGTAAAATGATGCATTCCACATCAGGACAGTCCCACCCTTTGGTCAAAACAGCTACATTCGTTATGACTTGCAGTCTTCCTTTTTGAAAATCTCTCAGGGTTTGGGAGCGGTCTTTCATAGACATTTGGCCGTTAATGTGGCCCGTAGAAACTCCTTGAGCGTTGAAGGTGTTTTCAATGGATTGAGCATGAAGAACATTAGAGCAAAAGATCACGGTCTTTCGTGTCTGCGCCTGTTCTTTCCAATGACGGAAGACCTCTTCATTATAGAAGTTCTTGTCTAAGATTTCTCCGGCCTTTTTTAGCATGCGCGCCCCATTAAGTCCCTTCTTTGGCTTTCCTCGCGGCGTCCAATAAAGAGCTTTAAGAAGTTTTTGACTATCTTCATCTAATTGAATCGCGAGTGTTCTTGGCGGCGCAAGAGACCCTGAGTTTACAAGCTCTCCCAACATGATTTGGTCGGCCACATGATCAAAGATTTCTGAAAGTCCCTTTTTGTCTCCCCGATTGGGGGTTGCTGTAAACCCAATAACCTTAAGAGCGGGGTTTTCTGTTTGAAGTTTTTTGATTAGCTTTTTCCAAGAAGAGGCCACACTATGGTGGGCCTCATCGACGGCAACCAAATCAAAATGAGGGAGCGGTTGTTGTCTGCGATCAAGGGTTGGGACCATGGCAAAAACAACGTCCCTCTCAAAATCTTTTCTCTCTGCATTTACAACAGACGTAGACAATCCTTTTGTAACTTTTCTGAAGGATTGGGCATTTTGAATAATCAGCTCTTGTCTATGTTGAAGAACAAGGGCTTTTTGTCCTAGCTGAAGAATTTCTTCAATGAGGCTCGACATGATAATGGTCTTCCCCGCTCCTGTAGGCGCTATACACAATGTGTTCTGCCTGGTTTCTAGAGCTTGAAGAACAAGATTGACCATGTGTTTTTGGCGGGGTCTTAAAAAAACAGAAGGGGAAGATTTGGTTGACATTCTATTTCATAAAAATTTGACGAAATTCACTGATTAAGTATACTTTACTTTGTTCTTTTTTTATAGTTAAAAGGCTCAGTTTTGCTTAACTTTGAGCACATTTTATGGTACATTGAAATCATGAAAAATGCTTGTCAATTTCTTTGATGATAAAGAGGGTTGGTGAGCTGTAAAAATCAGGAGAATAAGAGGCCACAGCGATGAAATTTCAAAAAGGACAATCGGGCAATCCTGCGGGACGTCCCAAGGGAAGTTTTGGGATCAAGAAGCGGTTATTGAACCAAGCGCTAGAGAGCTGCCAAGAGGACGCTCCAAAGGTATTGAGACAGCTTTTAGATATGGCTTTAAAGGGAGACGTTCCGGCAGCAAAGGTTTTTTGTGCTTATGCTTATCCTCATCCTAGCATGGATGCCGCTTTAGACATTGCTGTTGATCGCGAAAATCTTCCGACGCTGACAGACGATCAGGTTAAAGCAATTATTGAAACCGCAGGGCGTCTTTAATGGAATCGAATATTGATTATGCCCACTTTTTACAAGACTGTGCTTATCGATATTACCAAGAACGGTTTCTCTATTACGCTCCCCATGATAAGCAACAGAAGTTTCATACTGCTGGAAAAACAGCCAAAGAACGTTTGTTTCTTGCCGGGAACAGAACCGGGAAAACCTTTTGTGGAGTGATGGAAGTCTCCATGCACCTGACAGGGCATTATCCCAAATGTTGGGAGGGCTATAGTTATGAAGAGCCCATTCAAGCTTGGGCAGCGGGGATGACCAATGCAGAAACCTATCAGGTCTTAGAAAAGGCTTATATTGGAGATGTTGGAACACCTGGAGCCATCGCCTCTCATTTAATCCTGGGTCAAGATCGACTGAAACACCTCTACACCATTCAGCATTGCTCCGGGGGAGTTTCGCAACTGCGGTTTAAATCTTATGAGCAGGGACGAAAAACCTTTCAAGGCGCTAAAATCCATGTAGTGCATTTAGATGAAGAGCCTCCCCGGGATATTTACGTGGAATCTTTAATGCGCACTATGTCCACAGGGGAGAAACATCAGGGCATGGTCTTGGTCACCATGACACCGTTGATGGGGTTAACGGATATGGTGCTTCATTTTCAAGAAAGAGAGGGAGACCCCTCGTCTGAAACGGATCCTCTTTTGGTGGATGAAGGGGCTATTCATAATGGCAAATTCTATATTCAAGCTAGTTGGGCGGACAATCCTCATCTTCGCGCTGAAGAAAAAAAAGCGATTTTAAGATCCCTCAAACCTCATGAGCGAGAAGCTCGAGAAAAAGGAATTCCTTCTCTTGGAATGGGTATGGTGTATCCGGTTCTGGAAGAATCCATTACTTGTGATCCTTTTGAGATTCCACATTATTGGCCCCGGGTCTATGGCATTGACTTTAGGTGGAGTCCAAGTCCAACAGCTTTAATTTTTGCCACTCTTGATCCCGACAATGACATCCTTTACTTCTATGATGAATACAGTGCCACTGAACGTACCCCAGAAGAGCATGTCTTTCATATCACACAACAAGTTCCCAACTTTAGGAAATTAGGGAGTGTTTATGATCCCGCGGGTAAAATCTCTTCCCAAAAAGATGGGGAAGATCTGGTGCGCCTCTATCGAGCTCAGGGGATTCAGTGGCTTAGTAGAGCAGATAATCGAAAAGAAAAAGGGATTCTCGAAGTTTTACAGCGCATGAAAGGGGGCCGTCTCAAAATTTTCAAAACTCTTTCTAAAACTTTAAAAGAATTCCGCATGTATGCTCGGGATGATCAAGGGATTCCAAAGAAGCACAATGATGACCATCTCATGGATGCCTTGCGCTATGTCACGCTATCAGGAGTTGCGACGGCGCGGTGTATGATGGCTCAACAAGGGTATCAAAGGGCGTATCCCATTCAAAATGCATGGCAGGCTTAAAAATGAACCTAAAACTTCACAGATAAGATCTGTCAGGAGTGGGCGTAGATTTATAGGAACCACCTCTTCCTTTTTTGCCACTTCTTTCTCTTTTGCTCTTCTAATTCCTTCACATAAAGGGAGAGGGGATCTAAAGAGTCCTCCTTCTCCTGTTTTTGAAAAGCGTTTTTAAGAACGTATATTAAATAAAATAGCTTTATCATGACACAATTGTTTTGAGCTCTTTTATCGGTAGAGATCGTCTTTCAAAATCACAATCCTTGGGAAGGTGTTTTTTTAACTGATGATAACCGGATCTCCACGTGTAAAAGGCTTCTCTATCTTCAATGGAAAGAGACTTGGTCTTGGAAACAGGAATGATCGGGGATGATTCTTTGCAATCCATGACCTTTAAAGGCAACTCATCTGTTGCACTCGAGTTTTTTTTAGTGGGCATGTTTCCTCCTATTTTTAAGATAAACTGACTTTATGGATAAAAACCCCTCTAAATCTTCTGGATATTACGTACGCTTTATGGTATCTTAATGTTATTATTCTATACGGCAAGAGGTAACATTATGACCACGCTTAATGTAACAGAGGCAAGAAAAAAACTTTATAAACTCATCGATGCGACTCATGAATCCCATGAACCTGTTTTAATAAAGGGAAAAAGAAATAATAGTATTTTGGTTTCAGAAGAAGATTGGAACGCAATAAAAGAAACGCTTTATTTGACATCTATACCAGGAATGTCTCATTCCCTTAAGAAGGGAATGCAGGAAGATCTCTCAAAGAGCAGTAGAGAACTTGACTGGTAATGTGGGAATTGTATTTCACAAACCAGTCTCAAAAAGATGCGAAAAAGATAAAACACTCTGGTCTGAAAAGTAATGTAGAGAGTCTTTTTAACATTTTAAGAGAAGATCCTTTTAAAACACCTCCACCCTATAAAAAGTTAATAGGGGACTTAAATGGAGCTTATTCGAGGCGCATTAACATTCAACATAGACTCGTCTATCAAGTCTATGTTGAACAAAAAGCAATTAAAGTTCTTCGGATGTGGAGTCACTACGAATAATTAAAATTTCATCTCTTTTTTTCTAATGACTGGGATTTGGGTCGAAGAATTTTGTCAGGAAATGGATTGTGTAACAAATTATACTTTAATACATCTATCTTGACACTATGTAATTCCCAATGTAAGAATGAGCTCTGTAGAAAATCTTTAAGAAATATTATACAAGGAGTCAACCATGCAAAATATCGGCTATGCCAGAGTCTCCTCTAGAGTACAAAGTCTCGAGCTCCAAATGGAAAAACTTCAAAATTGTCAAAAGATCTTCAAAGAAAAAGCCAGTGGGGTCGATGGGAAACGCCCTCAACTCAAAGCCTGCCTCAACTATGTTCGACAAGGAGATGTGTTAATCGTCACCCGTTTAGACAGGCTCGCCCGGTCCACAACTCATCTCTGGAAGATCGTCGAAACCCTTAATGAAAAAGAAGTAGAGCTCAAGGTTCTAGATCAAAACCTGGATACAGGAACCTCCACAGGACGCTTACTCTTTAACATGCTGGGCGCTATTGCCCAGTTTGAAAACGAAATCAGAGCTGAACGACAAATGGATGGCGTCAAAAGAGCCAAGGAGAGAGGTGTGCAGTTTGGTAGAAAAAACAAGATCACCAACGAAGAACATCTAGCGCTCATCACCAAACGAAAAGCCGGTATAAAGATTTGTGATTTGATGAAAGAATACGGTCTGTCCCATAAATCCGTCTACAACTATCTCAGCAGATCTCCCCACGAGAAAACACCAAAAACACACGCTTAAAAGCCGCCAGGAGACCTCTCAGTCTATGAAGACGATGTTTTTATCCCCCCCTGGTGTGGGATCTTACTTCCCTACACATTTAGAGGAGAAAATGATTTGAATGCATCTGAGACAGGCTTTAAAGAAGGATTTGAAAGCTTC